ATTTTACTCAACTTTAACGCCGAAAATCCAAGTCTGGCATATGATTTGGACACATAAAATTGTATTCATATTAAAAAACAGTCTTTCTAGTTCACAAATGTGAAATAAAATTTTTGGGCTGTTCAAAATACGAAATTTTAGACGGCTTCAAAAGCGTGACACTTTCGATATAAACATGCCGTGACATCTTACCGTCCGACAAAGTAAACAAGTAGAGAGATCGCTTAAAAAGCCATAAAACTTACCTTATGGGTATTCTTCTCAATTTTTTATCTTTTAAAACATCAGAACTGACCTTGCTTTTGATATTTGCCGTTAACGAGATATTCTTCAATGTATGTACAAAGTTTTAAAAACCCTTCGACATCAAATGAGTGCGTAACGATATAATACTATTATAATATGGTATAAAATTTATTCATAACTACTAATTAATTCCATCTGGGCCACCCAAAACATAGTAGATCGTCCAGACAAAAAAGTGTCAAGGAATGCAGTCATCATTGCACAATCATTTCGGTCAGTTCATAGGCTCACATAAATATGTAGCGTAATGTAAAATGGCTACCTCATTGTGCTGTAAATACTCTGCCCTTGTCGGAGGCCCATGTGGAGGAAGTTCGTCCAATCCATCAGAACTAACTATCACTACTGTTGGAGAKTGCTGCAAAGAAGTAACGGGTCACTTGCGGTCACTCAAATGTACGGACAGTAATGTCAAATCCGAATCAGTTCTTTTGCTTGCACGCGCAGGTGAGTAATCAATTCCGTTCCGTCTTGCGTCTTGTAAAGTTGTCCTTTCTGAATGATGTTTTGTTTCTCAATCTATAGGAATTTTTGATATAGATTCAATGCATTTATCACTTTCCATTTGTCCACGACATCGTGATCTGCTTGGTATTCGTTGGCGATGCTTCAAGAAATTCTGCACTTGTCCTCCGCTGTGGACTGAGCATAAGTCTTCAAATATTAAAGGTGATCGATGCATCACTCTGCAACAATCGAGACGACTCTTTTATGACACCAAAATACTTGTTCCAATTGCGTCACGTGAGTAATTTTGTTCTATATTGTCATTTTGTATATTTTATATATATTGTTGTTTTTTAGCAATTTGCAAAGGTTGTCGCTCAAGACTTTCAAAAGAAGAACCCTCGATCACTTCAGATTCAGTTGATACACAGGTAAAAGGGATTTGCCTGATTATCTCAAGTCATTTTCATCAGTATAATTTTTGATGGTTATTTTATTTTTTTAAAAGAGTTTACAATGTAGCTTTTTTTTCGCCTTTTTTTTTGAAAAACTGAGTAAAAGGGAAGGGCCAAAGAATGATTTAATGCACCATACAAATCCAGTGATAAATCTCGACTAATCTTTTGTCGCGAGGACACCAGCAGGGATATAGTTTAGATTTTGAATGCGTGAATGAATGAATAAATGGGAGAATGGATGRACGAATGAATGTAAGGGTCATGATAAATTATAGAAGAGAGATTTTGAGAGATTAAGCATTCAAATAAATAAGATTGATACATTAAACGGTTCAAAGTAGAAACGTTTCACTTTTAAAGGCGGTGTTTTCTCTTTAGGATTACGACACAGTGGCAAAGCTTTCAACGGACGTCAAAAATCTGGACATCACAGACAAAGTTCAACTAAAACAAACTCTTGAGGCATCTTTATATTGTCCTTCTGAAAGTAGCAGTAGCTCGAATGAATCACCAAAACCTGAAAAAAGAGGGAATGTGAATACTCGACGTCTAAAATAAAGCTTAATGAATTCCTTTCCGTTAGTGGAAAAGAGCCTGTCAAAGTTATAAAAAAGGAGTGGGAACACCTCAGTGTGCGCACTAGAAAAGATCGTTTATGTAAGGCCAGAGACGCAGTTGTGGCAACGATGGAGGTCATTTCACCAGACGATCCAGGATCACTCTGGGAGGCACTGAAGGAATCAAAAGCAGTTGAAAAAAMGCTGAAAACAGATAGACACCAGCTAGATACCAAGTACCTCCATGCTTTGACMGAAGCGTACAGCCACGCTAGYGGCTGGGATACTCGTAGACAAGTATTGTCAGTGATGGCTGATTTAGTACCATACCATGTCATTCAACAACAAATACCAGGTAATAGACAAAGCAATTGTCGAATTAARATTTGCATTTGGATCCTTATAAGCTTTATTATATTTGTAATAGGTATCACTGACTACAGGATAAAAGCAGCTCGAAAGCACAMTTTACTTCATGGTCGCRGTGCATCCTTACCACAATTGAAAAGTCCAAGAATGAGAGTAAACTCCATCCAGCTCGATAATTTTTTACAGTTTATTACAAGTCCACACGTGGTACAGGATTTACCGTTTGGCCAGCGGAACKTACAACTATCAAATGGAAGAATTCTGGAAACACCCAATACGATCAGAGTGAWGATATCACAGAGAATAGTTGACCAATATCAAGAGTACTGTTCTGAGACCAATTTCAAGCCCTTCAGCAAATCGACCATGCTKCGCATTTTATCCTCCTGTACAGCAACAGTGCGCAAGTCACTTCAGGGTCTAGACTACATAGCTGCAGAAGGAGGTAAAGGCTTTGATGACCTTCTTGTGATCATACAGGCAACAGAAGTCGGATGTCGTCATGCGAAGACGCACAGCTGGAAAGCAGTACCTTAAGACGGACTTTAAAGTACGTATATAACTTCATAATATTCCTTTATACCAGCTATCATCATGACTAAGTGATCACTGCTATAAACCTTAAACGTGTATATGTAAATTGTATACCAATGATACTGCTCTTGTTATACTAAAAAAAATGTATAAAAAAAATGCATGACATTCTTTTCGTATAGGTTCATGTCGCCAAAGAGTCTAATGTTGYAKATCACTGYGTTACCTTTGCCTTGAGTGAGGRAAAGGAACCTGACCTGAGAGAAAAATGTCACCACTTACATGATCATCGATGTCTTATGTGCGATCAACTCAAAACCACTCTTCAAGAAATAAAGTCTTTCTTGGGATGTGTATCAGACCCGGAGGAGTATGACAACTTGCATTTTCTATATGAACAAGCTTCTAAAGCCATAATGCTATGGAAAGATCATCAATTGCGATCAGTCCAGCAAGACAAAGCAAGAGTTGACATGTTAGAACTCTTAGATAATAAATCAATCATGATGACCGAAGACTGGGCAATGAAATTCCTTCCGAGAAGATACAGAGAGTCTCAAGCCAACTGGTTTGCCAAGAGAGGCATATCGTGGCACATAAGCGTTGTAGTAAGAAAGGTGGATAACACACTGCAGCAACAAGCCTTTGTTCACGTTGTGCAGAACTGMAGTCAGGATAGTAATGCCGTCATCGGGATTGTTAAACACACCTTAACTGCTCTGAAAGAACAGCATCCTGAAATCGAAAAAGCCTACTTGCGCCAAGATAACGCAGGCTGTTATCACAGCGTAGAGTTCCTCACTTCCTGCCGCCTTATGGAAGAGTCAACTGGAATTTTAAAAGATCTGCTGAGTTGACTTTAGTGATCCCCAAGGCGGAAAAGGGGCGTGTGATAGAAAAGCCGCCACAATTAAAGCTCACGTATTGCGTTACGTGAATGAAGGACATGATGTCACTACTGCTACAGATTTAAAAGAAGCCATCTTATCACATGGCGGTGTTAAAGGAGTGAGAGTGTCCGCACTACTAAATATTGAGCAGCAAGTAACAGGTGGCCATGGAAAGATTGACGGGATAAGTACGTTGAATAACTTTGTGTACAGTGATGATGGGCAAGGATTGATAGCTTGGAAGGCATATGGCATAGGTGCTGGGAAATATCTTCCGTGGTCCAATTTGCAAGGTATTTTATCTTTTTTCTATAGTAAACATACATGTAGTACGTATAGGATAAGATATAGCATAACATGTTTCTTCTTTAGTTGACAGCGGTTTTCTACAGAATGATTCATTCAGCAACATTTCATTTTCCTCTGGAGATTTTGTTCCAATCAGTGCGCAGGCGACCAATAAGCAGCAGCAGCCGAAAGACGTAACTTCTGTCACTGAAGAAGAAGATGAACCTGAAAACCCATTGTATACGTGTCCATCTGAAGGATGTATAAAAACMTTTCAGCGTCATTACAACCTAGAACAGCACTTGCTATTTGGAACATGTAAAAGAGAAGAGGAACGCTACACACTCATGGACAAGGCGAAGCTGATGTATAAAAAGCTTCTTGAAGAAGGATCTACTGAACAGCCACATTTATCAGGGCAAACAAGCGTCTCACCAGCAGATGGAAATAGCTTACCGGAGGGATGGGCCCTGAAATCAAAGAAGTCAGCAGCTCGTTTTAATGAAAATCAAAAAGGTTACCTTGATGACAAGTTTTTTATCGGACAAGAAACCGGTAACAAAGCAGATCCAAATCAAGTATCAAACGACATGCGCCATGCAAAAGATGATGAAGGAAAGAGAAGATTTACAGTAGCTGAGTTTCTTACGGCACAGCAGATTCAATCTTATTTTTCTAGAAAAGCTAAAAGCGCAAAGAAGGGTACGCCAGTATCAAATATCGATCAAGACGATCTTCAAGCCGCAGAGGAAGAAGCTGCATTCCAGTCTTACCAAGAAACCGTTTTAGAAGAATGTCAGCTTGTTCATCCAATAGTTTATGACACGTACAATGTCTGCCAATTAGTTTTGAATGGCAAATTGAATAAACTGTCGATTCCCACATTGCGTATAATGTGCGAATTCTTCCATATGGACGTAGACACTGTTTCGGTAAGAAGGAAATTGCCCTACACAGCTTATCTATCTGACCTTGTGAAGGGATGCTCATGCACCAAAGACTAGGACGAAACTGCATAAATATAGGCTAAATAACCTGTGATATCATGTACAAGTAGAACAAAAAAAAAATGAATGGCGGGAAATGATAAAAAAATTGCGCAACTTTTTTTAATACTAAAATGTGAAATGACGTACAGTCGGTATATTTTATCTGTTGGTCACCCTGTGAGTCACGCAAATACAACAATTATTTGCTGTGTACATTTTAGAAAGGATTGCCTGTATGGTTTGCTCTTGTAGAAGTTTCATATTCTATTTGAAGATTAAGAAAGAATTACAATTATATCTGACAACATTTGGTTTCTACGTATTGTCGGTATAGTAGCGACCAGTAGCTTATAGTAATATGTCAGATCAAAGCCATGCTTCATGTTGGTTTTCATATGTTTTGCCTTCGAAATAATTGATTATTTTCAAAACTTCAGAAGCAAGCTCAGTTATGATGTTTTTAACGATAAATCGTTGACAAGAATATGTTGATGGTAAGTTTTATGGCTTTAAAGCGATCTCTCTACTTGTTTACTTTGTCGGACGGTAAGATGTCACGGCATATTTATATCGAAAGTGTCACGCTTTTGAAGCCGTCTAARATTTCGTATTTTGAACAGCCCAAAAATTTTATTTCACATTTGTGAACTAGAAAGACTGTTTTTTAATATGAATACAATTTTATGTGTCCAAATCATATGCCAGACTTGGATTTTCGGCGTTAAAGTTGAGTAAAATTTGCATGTGACAAATATGCAAAAATTAGCATATACTACTAAAATTGTAAAAATATTCAATTTGCAAAGTAATAGCACAAAACTTGCACAGATTGATATTTAATATGTCTACTTTTAGGAAATTATATTAAATTTGTAATTATTAAAGCGATTTCTGTGAAAAATTGTCTTTTGTACAGCATAGTCACAACCAGTGAATACAGCCTCCGACGACCCAAATCGAAAAAAAATAATTTCTTCCAAAATAAAAAATCGTTATATCCTTATATCCTTATATCCTTATATCCTTATATTCCGTGACGGAAGTCCGTGGATCTTTTCCAGAGGGACAATGCGCAAAAAAGTAGTTATCTAACTGTACGATCGGAGTATATGATGCTTGTATTCTTGGTTTCCCGCGAACTACAGGGACAGACATTCTAATTGGTCCGTTTTAGTGAACTCTCGCAATCCAGTTGACAGACACAGATTTTTTCACAACTTCAACCGGCAATTTCTCCGGTTCGTGTTTTGCGCAAATCATAAAAAAGCTTTTGCGTTACACATTTTCAGTCAGACACCTTCGTTCATTAATAAACTGATCACTTGAAGATTCAAAAACGGGTGAGCAACTTTTAAGTACGACCTAGTTTTTGCTGTCAATGAATATAATCAAACTTCTAATTGAAAAAGCTTTTATTTCTAAACTAAGTAMAATATTGAAAATCGCTCACATGTTTTGGTAGCCTAGTAAGTGTTGATTGATAAATGCTGAAAAATATTTGGATACAACGAACAACACCCTTTGAATTCGTCATCCTTTACGCAGTATTTAAAACAAAAATGATTTCTTTAAACCACATAATCGTTTTCTATATTTATTTAGCTTTAAAATGATGCATGAGTTGTAGTTTAGGAGTTCTCGTCCACTTTTTGGCAATGAAAGTTCAATTTGTTTATTGGAATTTAAAAAAATATATTAAAAAAAATATTTTATTTTTCTTTTAAAGTTATTTCTAGTGTTGTATCGTTCGTGCAAATATACAAAGCCTTCTTTTTCAAATATTCTCTAAAACAGGATGACATGTTTTGTTATGTAGTCTTAATTATTGATTTACTGACATGAATTTGTCACAGTATTGGAAACCCTCCAATACTAAACCCTCCACAAACCAAGCCTTACTCTGAAATATTCACTGACGACAGGATGCTGTTTTTTATGTAGTCTTAATTATTGATTTACTGTGACAGGTTCCAATACCTACGCGTCTTCCACTAAAGCTTTCCTGTTCTCACTGCACAACACACGTGGTTACAGTCCCGTCAAGTTACCTGTTGTAAAGGATCACCAGCGTGCTATATATAGATGCGGTCATTATGGTCCTATTTTCGGTGCTGGTCCTTCATTCGGTGTGAGTCATGACATGTACATATCTAACCAGGCATCAAGTAATACTAATAGTTACCTCTATGTGTTCACATACAAAGCTCCACCTGGCTGTAGCTATTATAACTACTGCTCATTCTACACAGGCAACCATCTCTTTACACCCAATGACGTTGAGGTTTTCTATGAAACCACTAACTAGCAATGAAGCTGTCTGAAACCCATTCAACAAGTAATTGTAATACTCTTTAGAAAGTTTGTAGGATTTATATTAAAAAAAAACCCTGTTATGTTGAAAATTAAGTTGGATTGCAAAAAAAAATCAGTGAAAGCACGTAAATATGCCGGTTTCTTTCTTTCTTTTGTTCTTTTTTTCTTTCCTCTTGTTTTCTTTTTTAATCAATAATGCTTGCTTCTGATTTGCTGATTGAATCTTCTAAATTTCTCGGAATCAAATGCGGAAGAATGAATGGAAAACAATTACCAGCTTTTTTCAAATGGATGAAAGAAAGTCAATCAGAGTCAATCAGAACAAAAAACTGAAGAACGACTTTCCGRTATAAATCCATAAAGCTACAAACTTTCTAAGGAATAAACATTGTACTAACATGTACTCAGTAAAGTAGGTCCAATTGTTAATGAATTTTCTCAGAATCCATTTGGTTTATTAATCCATAATKCYACAGCCTTTCTGAGCAAATAAAAATAATTCTAAAGTAGTTCGAGGCTCAATATATCTGAGTTATTTCATGTAACCAAGTAAAAGCACAGCTATAASATAATGTAATGTAGGGTGATGGTTTAGTCTCAATAAAAATAAAATATTTGGCACACAAATAGGGTGTTTATGTTTCATGTTGGTGTAGGAATGAACAAAAAATTACTTTAAATAATCTTGTTAGCATGACCACTTTTAATCACAACGGACGATGTAGTAAAATTACTGTCGTCATATATCATACATACTGATGCAAAATTACTGAGCACATCTATCGAAATGTATATAAAACTACTGACAAACGGTTTGTCAGTGGAGTGGCCAATAGGGATGAGGCTGGTCTCGTCTGGAGTGGCCAATAGGGATGAGGCTGGTCTCGTCTAAAGCATGTTACCTACAATCATTGACAAAATATTTTGGAACGATTATGATTATGACTCGTTGACAGCAAAGTTAATATACATTCAGAAATATTATTAAAATCACGGAGAGTAATGCTCTTCTAGGATTTTTTCACGACCTTTGCAAGAAGGAAAATCCAGAATATCTATATACTCAGAGAGCTTTAACGGCCGTATGGAAGAGTGTTTCCGGATTTAAAATTCTAGTTCTAATTCACTTTCCCAGGAGAAAAATCGTATAAGAACAGTTATTTAGAATAACAGACCTGTTCGTCTCCTCCTGAACGAACTCATTCTATAACGCTTTGATAGAAAAATATATCAGCAAAGAGATTGCGTTAAATCTATTCCTGAGGTAAAATCATACAGCATGAAACAAAATGGAAACCACTGATTTCAAAAAGGCGTAATTTTTATTTTATTTTATTATTGATAGAATTTTAATTAGACAAATTTCCCTGATTGTTAAATATGTAGCTCGTCGCTATCTATCTGATTCACACAGAAATTTAAAGGAAAAAGAAGGAACAATCATAAGGTSAGAAAAGTGTGATATTTAGGAATGAACTACTGCCCTCAGAGAACACCCTATATATAGTGCGCAATATTAGTTCAACTCATATTATCTCAAAAAAAGGTGATTACAAACATTATGGCTACGTAAAAAACGTGGAGTAGACCTAATCGGCTAACGGCGTTGGTATGTACGTTGACACCCAATTCAAATCCTGTGGGAAAAAGAAGTTTTGTTTCTAAGAATTCAACTGTGAAATGAAAATACAACAAACAATGAAACTTACTCCCGGATGGTTTGAATTGGGTTGAAGCCGATTAGGTCTATTTGGCAATTTGGCCCGCCTTGTTTATTAATTCCCCACTTGGGATCCCATAGGCTCTTACTGAATATCGACAATCATAATTTATTCCAGATGCTGGCCGTATTGGCAAAAGGTCTATAGTGCATATGAAATAGGGCCATGGCTATCGTGACGCCTTTGTTTTTAAGTTGCTCAACCCTCTACTGGCAACACTCTAGTTCGAACGATGGCTTTGAAAAATTCCAAGTTTCGTAAGTCGTTAGATCTTACTTTAAACACGGCTCAAAGGAGAAAAAAAACATATCAAACCTATTGCCATACGTCGGGTGACATTTGCTTAGATTAGATCTTTTGATATGTTATCTGAATGAAGAGGCTGAAAAAAGCACAAATACGGCAGTTTTTTTTAAAGAATATTTAGGTTTATCGGTCTTAGAAAAGCAAAAAGCTTTAAAAAAATATATTGGATTTTGCT